CCGTACGACCCCAAAGGCTAACACCGGAGGAGAGGCGTCACCTGAGTCGGCAGGGTGGATGCTTCGCTTGTCGGAAGCCAGGTCACCTAGCTCGGGATTGTCCCAGCAATCAACACCCAAACGCTGGTCGCCAGTGAAAAATGGCGTGCGCTCGCTGGCGACCAAGCGGAAAGCACCCAACGGTTACCCGGTTGACATACGCAACCGTTACAGCGTACTAGAGCTGGAAGAACCGACGCTGCAAGCTGATTCGGAAGATGTTGCCGAACAGGAATCCCATGTCAGCAACGTTGATATCGCAGTACAGGACACGGAGCTTCCTTTGGAGCATGACCTTCTCCGTGTTGAGGGCAGGATCAACGGCCGCCGGGCAATTATGCTTATTGACTCGGGATCGACGCACGACTTCATATCGGAAGCTTTCGTGCAAAGAAACGGCCTTGTTACGGAGAGCAAGGACGAAACACTGAAGGTAACCCTGGCTGATGGCTCATCGACATCATCGGGACTGCAGAGGACCGGTCTGGTAAAGGTTATTGTGAAAGACTTCAGCGACACCCAATCTTTCACAGTTTTTTCCGTTGAGCCGCTATGATGCTATCCTGGGCAAGCCATGGCTGACCAGACACAACCCGGATATCAACTTTCAGACCAACGAAGTCAAACTGAACGGAGAGCCGCTCGTTGCTAAACCCCCTTCCGGCCAAAATAGTGATACGGAGCGTCAGGAGTCGCCGCCAATTGAGAGCATGCTCATATCTGGTTCTCAGGCTCGCCGCGAGTTGAGGAAAGGCGTGCAGGGAATCCTGGCGTGGGTCAACGCTACTGACGACGAGGAGGAGGACAGCAAGCCATCAGCCGCCAGACAACACCCAGATCATCAAGAGCAGCTGGCTAACCTTCTGCGGCGGTACTCGGACATCTTTCCAGACGACCTGCCGACCGAGCTTCCGCCAGAGAGGGATGTCGACCATGAGATTGTGACTGAGGAGGGTGCCGTTCCTCCATCACGGGCTGCCTACCGTCTCCCCAAACCCGAGATGGACGAATTGCAAGCCCAGCTCACGGAACTCCTCCGCAAGGGCTTCATCGAACCCAGCAAGTCACCATATGGTGCCCCAGTCTTTTTCGTTAAAAAGTCTGATGGCTCATTGCGCATGGTTTGTGATTGGCGGAATTTGAACAGGATCGGGCGGATGCCGTCAAGTTGGCAAAGGACGCCATGATTGCCGCTCAGGCTAGACAAGCTCAGTATGCAGACAGGGGAAGGGTGCCCAGCAACCTGAAGGTTGGCGACATGGTGCTGGTGTACAAGGATTTTCTAACAACCGCAGAAGCCCGGGATCAGCCTTCACAGAAGCTACGCCCTAAGTGGTTCGGGCCCTACCCAATCATCAAGAAGATCGGACCCAACGCCTATCAGCTGGATCTACCCAGCGCTATTCGGTGCCACCCTGTCTTCAATGTCACTGCTCTGCGCCGGTATGAGCAGAATACTATTCCCGGCAGGCGGCAGCCACCCCCGCCACCGTTCACCGACTTGCACGGTCAGACCAGATACATGGTGGAGAAGATTCTTGACGATCGCCAGCGAAGGCATCAGACTCAGTACCTTGTCAAGTGGCAAGGGTACCCAGACGACGAAGCCACCTGGGAGCCAGAAGAGAACTTGCTGGACGAGGCCGGTAGGCCGATAGTTGCTCTGAGGCGTTACAGGGCGTCCAGGGCATGTTAGTGACACTATGGTTACCGCGAAATGTTACTCGCTCAAATTCAATTGCACGTGTACCTTGAGAATTCCCACTTGATCCTTGTTGTGTTAAGCAATCCATTCCCCTCCTGTTTTAGATTTTCCCCATTTCCGTTATCTTCACTCGCCTGACTGTCCTTGGTTACCTTGCACGGTGCTTCAATTAGATGAGCGTTGTTGGGTTGACACGATTTCATTTTGATTATTCCCTTTCCACATATTCCTCGACTCCCTGGAGGCACCTGTGCCTCGCTTAGGAGGGAGGGATGGTGTAACAGTTCCCTGTTAGCGCTAACCTTATCTGCCCTCTAGCTCTGTATCTTGCACCTTTCCCTATCCTGTCAGCACGCGCGTTATCACCTTAGGGCACGAAGTGCCCTATATCAGTTGTGTTGCCTTGAGCAAGCATTGTCTTTTCCAAGAATACCTTCAAACGGTTGCATCGAGGGTGGGGAAATCTGAAATATCTGAAAGGCAAGACAATTTTATGACAGAGTCATGAAATACTGCTACAGCAACATGCACAGAATGACCTCCGTATAAAAAAAAGTATCACCACGGTCCATCACTACTCACATGTTTCCCCGCAGAAGAACATGCTAGCCTTGTGCCATTTTCTGCAAGAAAAGGCTTGCACCTCAATGCGTATAATACGGTATTGAATTATTGATATGATGTGAAGGCCATCATTTACATATTGATATTGGTGACAGAAAAAAACAAAAGAAATTATAGCAATAAAAACTGCTTTATGGCAGTTTTCTAAAAAAAGTTATTGTGTTCTAGTCCATGGACCCCGTCTAAAAAGTAAGAAATTAACGAAATGTGATAGCCGAAAATTAAAATTTCACACAAAACCTCACAATAATCACACACAGAATGAAAGATACATGTAGAAGACCTTTTCCCCTCGTGATTCTCTTTCCTATGCATACATGACATGCATGTTGCCAATTGTTGGTGCAGTACAAGTTTAGTGTTGAAAGCAGCATTTCAACTGTTGTGATTATTGTGAGGTTTTGTGTGAAATTTTAATTTTCGGCTATGACATTTCGTTAATTTCTTACTTTTTAGACGGGGTCCATGGACTAGAACACAATAACTTTTTTTTAGAAAACTGCCATAAAGCAGTTTTTATTGCTATAATGAATATGGTGGTAAAGACCACACACGCCCTCTAGGCTGCAAAGTTCTGGCACAGAGCTCTCCTTCTCACCACCACCACCATCAGTTCGCGCCTGGCGCCTAGTCGATGCATGGTTGGCGGTATCCGACATAGCAGGCTGGTACATCAAGTAGCACATGGCACATAGAAGATGACACAGCAACGACATAGCTCGATTGCGACGTACGTTTCGTCCCCGCTGGACTCATCAGGCAATCTTCTTTTTGGATGTCTTCATACGGAGCTTAACTCTGGATTGTATTGCCTATATTGCCAGGTGTGTCTTTACCACCATATTAATCAACAATCAGCATACTCCTGAAAATCCCGCTGCAGAATAATCCCCTTTTTCCCGCAAAATTTGCAGCAGAATTTTTAAAAGAATTTCCGTCCGCGTTTCCCAAACAGGTATCAATAGCCCCATGTCCGAGGTGATTTGGCTTTTTTTTTTAAACATTTGGCATTTTTACATTTGGAATTTTTTTACCAAACTTTTATGTGTAAAATTTGCTTTTCTTCTGGCTGTTTCTCTGCTCCGGATAGCTGCATCGAAACATGGGTGGTGGCAAATGAGAGCCAGTTTATTGTGGTGCGTGCTTTGTCATTTTGTGTAAAATGTGTAAAAATATGCCCTGCATGGACGAGGACGGCAGTGAATTGCTTCCGCAGGGCCTTTGGACGAGGTCAGGCCGTCTTGCCATCACTAAAGACAATAATGAAGAACAGTAGGTCACGGAATACACTCTGTGAGAACGAAAACATGGCTGCGATGCTGTGCTACCTATCCAATTCTACCGTATGACACAGCCACTAGTTACAAATTCAAAAACACAGCTTTCGCAGCATACAATGCAGTTGACAGATTAATTTTCATCCACTAGCAATCCTTGAAGTGATATCTATCAACTTCAGAACATTGATGACCGAATATCTCAGTCTGTGATGCCATTTTACACATTAAATTTTGTTAAAAAATGACACACCAATTATCCGAATCCTGAGAATACTATGAAAGTAGGGCATGATTCAAGACACTTTCCAAAGTGGGATCATTCCCATATTTTGACACAACGGGCATGAAGGATAGCACTTCCACCTGCAACAATTAATTTGGACGTAGCTTGCCTAAAAGTGGCTGAAAAAACGTCATTTTACAACCATGTTTAAAAAGCCAAATCACCTCGTACTGTCACTGTGGCTACCGACACACTTGCCATTTTTGGCCATGCCTTGTCCGGCTATTGCACTGGTTCATGGATACTTTTCTCTTTCGTTCATCCCTCATGTAGTCTTGATGTTTGGACTTTTTCACTGTTGAGGCAACAAGCTGAAATAATGAAAAACCAGCCAACCAACTCCTTGTTTTCTACACAGCAGTGCTAAAGTGCTGAGACCAGAGGTCGCGTCGTTGTTGGTGTGCCTGACCAGCGCAGGTTCCACCATGGAGGCCCTACTCTCAGGCCCGCTGTTGAGTTTTTTGTGCTCTCTCCCATTCATTTCTCCCTAGTAGGTTGTATCTTATAAAGAACTCTTTATTTTTAAGTGACCACGTTCATATCATTGTATTTTCATGCCGAGAGCCCCCCCCCCCCCCCCCCCCCGGCTACACGCATGATTGAGCTACTTCAGTACATGATTGTACAAGTAAAGTGTTGATCAAAGAACTTGATCCCATCAAGCTAGCCAATGTCATGTCCGGTGCCTTGCAGCCCTAGTCAGACCTGCCAACCGTTGGTATATTCACTGGAGCAGGGTGCAAACTTGACTCCCACGACAGGATGATTTCATTGGGCAGGCACTACATTAGTCAAGGAGAATGTGGTAAAGGCAATGGCTATTTGACAGAGCTAACAGAAGATACAGACTGGCTCTCCAGCATTCACTCCGCGAATAATATAGAATCAATTGCCAGCGACATAGAATATCAATCGCAGGGCTCATCAGCGGCCGGGAGGGGGATAGTAGGGAATCAACAGAAGGGCGAAGGGATGAAACACTAGGTATGTAAAATATAGTGTAGGTATCAGTACAGGTGTCTATGTGGTAAATACATAGTAGACGAGAGAGGGATCTGACTCACAGAGATAATAACGAATAATCTTTACTTCAGGATGAGACACTAGCAAAGCAACTGAACTACACGAGAGGAATAACTGCAAGCTGTAACTGACTGAAACAACGAAAAGAACACAACTCGGTGTAGTCTCCAGTCCAAACAACAAGACGCCGACTCAACTAATTATGCACAGAAACTACAAGCCGCGAAGTCCGTTTCACGCGCGCGCGGGAAACGGCACATGAGACATGCATAACAACACAACACGATGCACTACTACTACTACATGCATCATGAATAGCATGAATAGGACAAAAGAACAGCCAGGAATAATTATGATTAGACTGGTCCACACAGGAACAATAAATGTACATGTATCACCTCTACGCGTGCACACAGCATAACTGACACCAAAGAAGGGCACGTTGATTCGGGCATGCATTGGAATTACCATGAACGTAATGACACCCAAAGGCTAGCGGCAGTGATTTGCCATAACACCATACTTAGACTACTGAAAGAGGTTCACCTTCTACTCACATAGGTATCAGTACAAGTTTCTATGTACATGACTGCATCATCAGGCTGTTCAGAGTGCTCACTGTCCAGTGGACTGAGCTGGTAATACAAGACAAGAGTGAGTGAATACAAAATGTAGAGCTGAAATTGGGATTTGAATAACAGCAAAATAGATAAGGAGTGTGCATTGCTCAACGACGTGGGCATGACATCATCACTACGGGGCATGACATCATCACCATGGGCATGAAAGCATGGATTAGTGCATGACATCATTACTATGGGGCATGACACCATCATCATCATGATGAACTTGTGGACAGTGAACACCAATGCACAACCGTGGCACTTCCCAGAGAAAACAGAATACATGTTGCCGGAAATATTTCCTCATCAGGAAGAGATCAAGGACAGTGAAACCATTTCAAGGGAACAAGCTGTTGAAACGCGGCTTTAAACCACATGCAGGAAATCATAATACATCAGCTTATCATCAATCCATCCTGGACCTATACTTCACAGGGTAAGTCCAAGTGGAGACGATCGATACAAGTCTAATGGACAATTGGAAGTCAGCAGTAGCGAAAGATCCCAGAGAAACATCGCCTGTATTGGACCAACACAGGAATGACAAAATCTGGAGATGTGGTATTTCAAAGATGATTGATTGCCAGTAAGTTAGGGAATCGCCTAGTGCTATCCAGGGTCATTTGACTGGAGATGGCAGCCCCTGGCCCGGGTTGCAGTGCATACCTGCCAAGTGTCCAGATTTTTCGGGATTATCCCGCAATTTTGGATGAACTCCCCCGATCCCGAAATTCCTTTCGATTATCCCGAAATTCACTGTACAAGAAACAAGCTTGATATTGTACTTGGAGCACTTCAAATGACTTGTCACAGGCCAGTAGTTGTCCTTATTGATTCCGGACCGCTATAGCCTGCAGTACCAGTGGATCTACTAGTGCTCCGTCCATGAGCAGTCTATGAAAAACCTCCGTTTTTGAGTCTTGACTCTTGAACATATGTAAGTGTGATCCGATGATCACGATCAATCGAAATGTTGGTGCAATCAAAAGTTGGAAAAGGATTTTTTGGTAAAAATATGACATATCCCGAAAAACCAAGGCAAATACCGCGATTTTGCCATGGCGATCCAGAAAAAAGCATTCTCAGTACTTGGCAGTTATGGTAATGGTCTAATGGGACAGGTGGTGGCCTTATCGGAGTTGTCGCCTTGACAGGTTTTACTGTACTGTGACTAAAGTGACATCTTGTGCATAGCTTTGGGAATGACATGCCTGACTTGTCCCTGCCCTCGCGGTATCGAGCACTTTGTGCAAATACATGTACATAGCAACTCAGCTTGTAGTACAAACCGTGCATGCCGTAACACTGTCACTGACATGGAAATCCGGTGGAATGACCGGGGCCGCCACCCTCGGTGCCAGGCAGAACGTTGTGTGCATGCAGTGCACGCGTTGATAGCAGTACACATGTACTAATGGCTGTCATGGGGCCGCTTGACCTCCGACTGGATTTCCATGTCCACGACAGTAAATATACAGTCAGACCTGGCTTATTCAGTCCTCTTTTATCCGGATCCCTCGCCATCCGGAAGAAAATCGCTGGTCACCGATTTACAGCATATGCCATGCATACATACAGTATGTGCGTTCGATTATCCGGTTCCCTCGCCTATCCGGATATTTTTGTGGAAAACGGATGTGTGCGGTTATGTGTGGTCTGACTGTATAGCAATACGGGATGAATTGCGCTCGGAACTCAAAGCAAAGTACAGTTATAATGCACTTGGCTTACCTGGGTAGTCATGACAACAGAGGCATCATGGCCGATCAAGGAGAGCCTCAAACTCAGTACGCTCTAGGGGAATACAGCACAGAACACAATCCAGACAAACATACCAACCTACTGTTATCTGCATAGAGAACTACAGAGAAACAGAGCATAATTGCATCTTGGTATGGGTCTTATCCAGAGCACAGCCACACCAAGAATAATGAAATATGCTAGAGAAAATAAGTCAGAAATAATCTTCAACGTACTGTACTCATCAGTTGCTGGTCTGGCGACGTCATCAGAAGCAGCTGCAGTCAGATTGGCACAGCGTGAGACCATACACATGTACTGTCAAGTGAAAACCTCTCACTAGAGATTACATTTTGCTAGCTTCACTACCAGCACGTGCACGCGCACGCACACATGCAGGCTGGCAGGCAGGCAGGCTGGCACGCACACACACGCACGCACGCACGCATGTACACACACACACACACACACACACACACACGCACACACACACACATAAAATAACTGTAAACCAGGCTGTGAGCGTATGTGCATGGGTTTTAGGCACTACACTATTCAATTGGGGAGATGGAATCATAGACGTCTCCCTTTCAAAACAAGAAGGTTTCAAGGCCGCACAACTTTACCGCTTTACCGTGGTAAGAGGGATGATTTCATGGCAAGAAGAAATGACATCATCACTCATTGGCATTACATCATCATCCATCATCATCCATCACCACAGTAACTACATATGATTGCCAGTAAACAAAGAACACATGCTTCAGACACGCACACCAAATGGGATGTTTGACTAGTCAATCCGGATTCAGATCAGATCCACTGGACCAGGCAAAACGGCAGTTAAAAGGCAGACTTGCGACTATACAGCCATGCACCAACAAACATCCATCTCCATATCCACTCACGCAACCCGCCCACGCACCTCCACCCACGTATCCCACCCACGCACATCCAGCCACGCCTGCGTTCAGAAATACAGGCATACCGTATTTTCTGGAGTATTGGCCACACTGGAGTATAAACCGCACGCCAACCTTTTGTCACAAAATACAGTCATCTATCCTATTGATTATCACCATCAATTTGGCCATCGTGGTATAAGACAAACAGATTTTGTTTTGGGTGAATTGCGGGTGTTTAAAGTGCCGCTTATACTCTGGAAAATGTGGTGCACATACACAACACGCACACACACACACATGCACACACACACACACACACACACACACACATGCACACACACATGCACACACACACATGCACACACACATGCACACACACATGCACACACACATGCACACACACACATGCACACACACATGCACACACACATGCACACACACATGCACACACACATGCACACACAACACCAGTCCATGTATCAATGCAAGACAACCACCTACCAGTCGTGGAGTGGCTATCACTAGGGCTGACAGTACAGAGGATCCAACCTGGACACTCCAGCATTGCCTGATACAGATCTTTGGCACTGGGTATCTTGGGAAGGACTTCATCCACTAGGGTTAGCACCACACTGTCAGGCAAGTCGGAAATCGACCCACGAAACAGATCAGCAGCCATCTGGGTCTGGTCTTTCCGCAAAAAATCGTCCAAGTCATTCAGAAAGGATGTATTCACCTGTCCACATTCTCTCAGTTTGAGAAGACAGTAGCGCAGTGGAAAATCAGGGCGCAGAAGAATGCGATGCCGATAGAAGGCTGAGCAGAGACGAGCGGCTCTGCGACGTTCCTCGACCGTATCTACACAAGGAAATATGAGTGGAACAAAAATACAATTCGGGCTATGACCAAAATGTTGTCATAAAACCTTTAATGGACTCGGATGGAGAGCCAAGATGTGCTAGAGCTGTTAACCAGTTAGTTGTAGAACGTCAGTACCGTGGGTCAGTGTCGTGCAATGTTATCGCATGAGCTGATTGTAAAGTAACTGGTGATGTTCGTGGACCTCATAGCGTAACTTGTCGTTCATTAATCCTTTCTTCTTTACTATACAACCTTTAAAAACGACTTTATGCACGTCATTCCATATGAATATACAGACAAACAGAGAGACAAATAGACATGCAGAGAAACAGTCACAACCACCCACACACAAACACACACACACACACATACACACAAATATACACACCTCAGACCTCAGACATGCCCATCGCGGGAGCGATGATAGCGAACAGCTATGTTAGATATAGCAACTTGTGCTGGGATTACACCATTCAACAGCTTGCAAGGCTGATGAATTGACCGCCATTATTTTTAGCCTAGTATCCACCACACAGCTGTTTGAAGTGACTTTTTCTGGCCAGTAAATCCCTATTTTTCAGTTTTAATTTTTCCATTTTTTTCTTCTTTTTTTCTTTTTTTTCTACACACACACCACACCACATACTCCGGCATACACTGGCTGTTGGTAACCACCCACATATACACACATACACACAAACACACACAAACACACACACACGCACGCACACACACACACACACACACACACACACACACACAAACACACACAAACACGCACACACACGCACACACACAACACAAACACACGCGCGCGCACACCGAGTCATGACACACAGTGCCACTGACCTGCATTACAGCAGCTTGCAGAGCCAGCATACAGATGAAATTTTCTTGTGTCGGGCTCCCGCTCATCAGGCATGACTAACTGAGCACGCACTCGCTCACTGACAAGGAACTCCATGGTAGCATTCAGGTCTCCTTGCAGATCCCGCTGTCGCAGAAGGTTACTACTTGGCAGGCACCCATCATCAACGAACACCGTTGACATGTCAGAACCAGGAGATTGTTGGCGAGGAAGAGCAGAGATGTGATCCCAGATAGCTTCCTGCTGAGAAGTCACGCTACGCTGGTCGGGCCCTCTGGTTATGATGTTGAGCGCGAGCTGACCGTGTGGGATCTCCACCAGTGTGTCTGTGTTCACGTACTGAGGTAGCGAAACACGAACACCTCCCTGCCAGACAGGACACTTGGCGAAGGAGTTGACGAGTGAGATTTGTATGGCGGGCATCAACGCCGCGCTGATAGCGACACCGAACTTACAGTAGAGACGGCGACCAGTGTAGTGGAGGTGCTGGTAGGGGTTGGCTTTCTCCAAGTGCAGACTAGTGCGTGATTCAGCCTGCGCAGGAAGAATCATGACTTGCTCACCATCCTCGGTTACATGACACATACCTAGGCGTACGGCAATGTCGAGAGCGTCTTCACCACACATCGGCGAATCTGTGGCCAGTACTTCAATGACATGGCTGCGTGAAGCGAATCCAAACTCATCACAGATAAGGGTCGGTGGAGGAAATGACTTTGGCGAGAACATTTTTCCTGTGATGTCACTCATCAACCATAGAGGTTGAACAACCACCAGCTTGGCATCCGGAAAATAGAATACCTGTAGTGAATACACATAGATACCCCATGTACATACATGCACACATACACACATACACATATGCACACATACACACATGCATACATGCCCACATACACACATACACACATATACATATACAGTGACATACACACAATCACACATGCTGTAGTGATGGAGTATAGTGCACACTTTAGATGCGCTATTTCAGGCTCCAAATTTCGAAAATTAGTGCATTGCATCAATGCATCAATGCTTTCGAAGTTTGCCACCGCTGACCCGGGGCAAGCCATATGCATGCATATAATGATATCTACTGTCAGCTAAACTGCACATGCATGATGGGTACGAGACCCCATAAGTAGCACTTGCATTATAAAAAGCCACACGAAATAATGCTATGATAATTTTGCTAATGTTCCCTCTATAATGCTGTTTTCCACTACCTCAACTAGTGAAGATTCTGTAATACTGTCTTTATAATAGTCTTTTAATAGATACTGGAAGGTTTGGTGGATAATAGATACTGGAAGGTTCGATGGACTTCTCGTGTGCTCTGCGTGGCAGTCGTGAGTCAGTCAAGTGTTAAGTCATGTCGGCGGAAAAGCGCGAGTTCCAGAGTGGGGAGCAAACCCTTTCCAAAGAAATCATTGCCGAAGTCGCTACCACTAATTCGTTTTAGAAGCAATAATTTCCTCAAATCTAGGCTGACCATCATACTCCGGATATACCTTGAATTGCCAACACGTTGGTCAAAGGAGTTGGTGCACATTATACTCTGGCAAATGTGATAAATACATACCATGTTTCATGTATCATGTATACATGTACAACCGCTGCAAGAAAAACACAAAAATCTGCAAATGCACTTTATGTGCACGTACAGATTTGCTCTTACAGCAACGATAGAGGGCACGATCTAAATGAAACAGATCAAGTGATGATAGCCTATTGCTGCCTGATAATTTCCCAGTACAAAACAGCCTACCGTTCCCTGTATTTTCCTGTATTTCTGTAAATTTCTCTTCCCTCACTTGAGTAGCACACTCTTTGAAGCTACCCTGACTGACACTGATGATCAGCATAGCCTATCAGTACTTCCACATGGTTTGTTGCACCCTGAACATTACATGTCGGGCAGAATATTGTGGGTTCCAAAAGGATTTCTCAAATTTAAGAAGACAGTACTTGGAGCAGCAAAGTTACTTACCTGCGCTTTCTGATGGAGGTTGAACAGCTCCATGTTGACATCCAGGAATTCCTTCAGCGCTTTCAGCACAACTGGTATTGAAGAGTCACCGTAGTTGTTATCGAAGCGAGCAATTGCTGTAGCCAGAAATTCCACAAACTGGTCGGTGCTGATAGCAGGACTGTCTCTGCATTGATCACGAACATTCTCCAGAAGTGCCTCCGAAATGGACACAACCACCTCCGAATCAGGTCCAGATGCCTATTGGGAACAAAACATTGGAAACAAGATGAATACACTTTGGGAAAGGAGAGAGAGAGAGGGAATGAGAGGGGTGGGGTAGGGAAGGTTGGGAGGTGTGTTTGTCGAGGGGAGGGGATCAGGGTTGGACTTGCAAAACATCAAACAGTTTAAAATGATAGACGAAAGCCCACACTATAATAACAGGTACAGTTGATGATTATGATTTTAGAACGTTGTCATACTCACTTGTTGCACCTTTTCCTTGTGTCGTTGGATCACTTCCCTCAATGCAGCCACACCTTCACACTTCTCATTGATGGCATTGACGAAAGGGATCGGCTCATCCAGGAAATCCAGATGCTCGCCTAAGATTTTCTGCAGCGCTGCAAACTCCTTCTCAATAGCGATCACTTGCTCCTTGGAGAGTCGGTCCCGGCGTGTCACAACAATAAGAGCTTTGTTGCGAGTGGTTGTGCCCTCTGCGCAGCTGCAGGCAATGAAATCTGCCCAGGTGCGGACCCAGCGTCTCATATTCACGATGGACTCCATGCCCGACACCGTGAGCAAATTGAGAGTCCAGACGTCGGAGAATTTCGTCAGTCGCTGATGTTGTGACATGAATCGATACTGACCTCCAAGGTCGAGGTATATCGTACCGTACGTATCCACGTAACGTCGCATACCTCGTGTCCTGGAGGCCAAAATCGTGTCATATTGGTCACCGCGGAAGACATTTTTGACTTTGCCAAAGAAACTGCGACGGTGTAGAATTGATTCCAGAAGGGATGACTTTCCTCCGCCAGGTTGACCCAGAAGTCGAACAACCAGTGGAGATTGCTGGTTAGTTTCCCGGCGGATTCTGTCCAGTAAAACTTGCTACAAACACAAGTCAAGTACGAAAGAGAAAAGAGAAATGAAAGAAGCAGGGCACATTTTAATACACAAATTTCTACCTCTATCCAGCATGCCTTGCCTTGGACAATAGTGGCTAAACAAACAAGCAACACACACTCTAAATACCGTCATTATACAACATATACTCATCTACACGGAATTTCTCTCAACTTAAAAGACAATAAAGTATACTCGTAGCAGGCTCTCACTATACGAATACTTGAGGGTGGGCAATTCAGGTAAAACCTTAGCTGTGAACTAACGTTCAGAATGTTTTGCTTAGTCACATGGATTCAAAATCAAAATGCATAAAAAAATACTTGTATGAATAAAAAACAGTGTTTTGGCCACGAACAAATCCTAGGTTAGAGTCCAAGTACAGGAACCGTATGAAGACACTTCGAAGTTTATCCTGGGCTATCTTTGTATTGATTATGGGTTGGCTGGCTTCAAATGCTTGTGATCTGGGAGTACTACTTGAAGTATTATCAAAACAATGTATCACACGCAGTTTGATCTTTTAGCACATCTGCTGTATACATGTACATATTATAGAACATAATCATTTCTAAGAGTTGGTGGACAAGCCGTTGATTATTCACTCTCATTGTAATATCAAAAAGTATTCTTTCTAGACCAAAGAGTGGTATATTTGATAACATTTAATAACGATAGAAATTTTTACGATACTTCTCCAGACGTTTCGTTGTTCTGAACAACATCGTCAGTGGATAAAGAATGGAGGGCTTTGGGTGGTGGCATGGGTTAATAGGGAGTGATGGTGGTGAGATGAGGTGAGGTGAGAAGGTGAAGGTGAGAAATACATGTATCTAAGTGGTGAAGGTTAGGTGCGGGTCGATACAGGTGGGAAGGGGTACACCCTTCGGGTAGAAGTGTAGGTTGGTAGAAGGTGTTGGTGTGCGTAGAAGGTGGAGTGGCGTAATGGAAGTGTCGGGTTGATAAATGTGGGAGAGAGTCTAGGTAGGGTGTGGATCAGCAATAGGTGTTGGTGTATGTGGTGGGTAGAATTGGCAAGAGGTGTGTGTGTGTGTGTGTGTGCGTGCGAAAAAGAGTAAGGTAGTGAGTATTGGTATGCGTGGAAGGAAGATGTGACAGAAGGTGTGCGCTATAGGCAAGGGGTGCAGGAATATTTTGAGGTGGTGGGTGGGACTAAAACAGGAGGTTGTGATTCATCTAGTGATATATATAGTATCAGCAATAGCAGCAGTATATACAAAGAGGTGTGTGTGTGTATGCGTGTGCATTTGCAAGCTTTTTGGTAGTGTAGTGTGTTGGGGGGGGGGGGGAGAGAGCACCGGGTGCGGGTGTTCTTCTTCTATTGCGATCATTTTTGGATGGGTTGGCAGATAGTGGATGGTGGTAGGCAAGTTATGCCAAGAATCCAGTTCCCATATCTTCTTTTCTTCTGTTGATAGTTGGTTTCTTGTCGCGAATGGCATATGCCTCACGGATCCGGAGCCTCAGCTCATCCCTCTCCGTGAGCTGAGCAACCTCGTACATAATCTCTGGGGTGGCGTTCGGGTGTTCCCTAGCGTAGTGCACACCGAATGCAGACTTCTTGTCATGAGATTTTGCAGCATTTGTGTGCTCTTGGGCCCGGGTGTGCACTTGCCTCCCAGTCGAGCCGACTTATCTCTCGTGACAAAGGTGGCATGTAGCTTCGTACACGGCAAATCTGCAGGTGCATTTCTTCCTGAACATAGGGCATTCGCGCATTCTGCATTTTTCCGGTTCTCCTTTTTTCTTCGTGAGTTCTTGGATGGTTGGGGGTCGAGGGTTAACGAGGCGTGCCGTTATGCCGTTTTTCTTAAGTGCCTGTCGTACTTGGCCGTTAACCTTGTCGGAGATGTACGGTATTCTAAATACCAGTTGTTTCCCTTTTGTTTGTTTACTTGTGTTTCTTCTTCGGGCTCGCGCTTTGATGATGTGTTCTGCAGAGTAGCCGTTCCCTGCAAGTTTATCTGAGATGAGGCGTCTGGCTTCCTCCGCAAACTCAGGCGTGCTGTTGTCTTGTGCTCGTTTGTATTCATTGTTAATGACCGCCATCTTAACCGCCGTTGGATGGTGGGAATCTGCGTGTAGTGTTATCCCTTTGTTTGCTTCTTTTACGTAGAGCTTGTGTGTGACTTTGCCGTCAGGAAGAATCTTTAGTCTGATATCCAGGATTGGTAGGAAACCATCTTTGTCCGGCAACTCCAGTTCAAACTTGATTGTCGGGTGTTTTCCGTTGAGTTAGGTCAGTAGAGATTGTGCTTCCGCAGGAGTGTCAACTGCGGTTCCCGAGTCGTCTACATAGCGAACGAACACTGGTAATGGCGGCGAGATGTTTCTGTAAATGTGGCGCTGTTCAAAGAGGTCCATGACGATGATGGCTATTGTGCCGCTGAGTCTGCTGCCCATCGCCAATCCCCTTGTCTGTTTGAATGTTCCAAGGGTTGGGTGTTGGAACACGTTGGTATATAGAATCAGCCCGAGTAGCTCTTTTAGGTCGACCAGTGTTCGTTCGCTATGTAGACGACTCGGGAACCGCAGTTGACACTCCTGCGGAAGCACAATCTCTACTGACCAAACTCAACGAGTCGTAGGATTGTTTTCTGGATGAAGTTGACAGTTTGTGCTGAGGACAGATTCAGTGTCAGTAATTCGCGGAAGGAAAGGCCGTATGCGGATCTGGCCGATCAATGCCGAGCAAACGGGTGGCAGGTCGTTTCTTTTTCGGTTGAGGTAGGTGTGCGTGGTTTCATCCCGGACTCTCTTCGGAGGGCTCTGAAACCGCTTGTGTTTTCTTATCGAAGAATATTTTTTTTGTAATTTGTACAGTAAGACGTCTCTGCGAAGCGGCTACATCATCTGGCTGCGATGTCAACAAAAACACTGATCGGAAGATCCACTTTTCCGAGGTACTGTATGTGGGACTCCGTTTATTGAGGTGCGTTGAAATTCATTCTCTTTATCTTATTATTTCGTTTCTATCATTTCCCCCTATGAGTTCCTATCCGTTGCTGTGAACACCTTGAGTGGAGAGCGCTTGCTCGAGCGTTGAACCCGGGTTCTTAATCCATCATTCCCAGGTTGCAAGGCTGGGCGGGGTTGTGAGCAGGTTTTCATTTTCATCTTTTCTTACTTGGTCCGCCCAGTTAAAATTGGCGCTTATCTTCACACTTGTCTCAGGAAAGAAATACGAATATTTGAAGCAAGCCACGATCACAAAGCACTATATACATGATTATTTACATGTCAGAAGCAACTCAGTCGAAAATTCAAGCAAGTTACACATCCTCCTCGCCACTATCGTCGCTGGAGGAAGAGCTCAAAACGTACGATCCGGACAGCTGCTGCACGGGTCATTTCATAGCTTGTTCCACTTCTCCTCGTCTCGAATCACGCTCAAAGGCAGTGCGTGCCTGTCACCTTCCCATCAGAAGCTGAGTGAGACTGCCCGCATGTTGACTGTAAGTGTTATTCCGTTCGTCGCAATAATGCGACTTTGTTTGAGACAAAAAGGCAACGCCATATCAGTGTCCTTTTTTCAAATCTTGCGCTTGTCGTACTTGCTGATCAGCACCCGTACCCACGCGAGCCGCTGGTGCTTGTACATGCAGCGCAGTGATAGCTTCCGCTTGATGTAGCACCTGTGCGTACTGCACCTACAACGCCGTGCACCAGGCTTTTCGGCTAGTTTCCTGAAAGTCCTTCGCACGAGTGTTTCTCTCAGGACTTGGTGTTTCCTTTGATTAGCTCCTTTGCCCTGTCCTCTGTGAGCTTCAAAGTGTGTCCGCCGGATTGGTCTCACTTACTGGAGACATCGACATGAGCTGCAGTTTCTTCGTCAGCGATTTGCTGGTGATAGCCCTTCACTAGGCGCTGTACTGTGCAAGCACTGAAATTCAAGCTCGCGAAGCGCTTTTTCAGCTTTTCTATACCTCCCCGGGGTAAACAATCCTTGCCATCAGACAGCTGGAAGTAGACAGAAACTGTATTCTCCATCGCTCTGAAATGCGAACATCCTGACCTATTTTACGGACTCGAGCGGAGGTTGCAGTGTTTTCTTGCGCTGACGGAAGTGTTCGTCGGCGGCAGCTCCGTCAAAAAGACTCAAACGAACCGATCGCAACTTCTGTGATGGTTTGTGCTGCCATGTCGTCGGATGCAATGGTCAATGGACATGTTCGGATGGTGAATCGGTGGTTCCATACCGTGTGGCACAGGCAGAACACCAAAAAACCAAGTGAGAAGATAAGCGCCAATTTTAACTGGGCGGACCAAGTATTATTTCTGCTTTTTCATCTCATTACAAAAATTCTGCGCATAAAATCTAGACTAAAAAACATTCTTGATAAATCACGCACCTTCTTTCAGGCGTAAAAACCCTATTGCAGAGGTCTCAGCCTTCCTTCATTAGACTTACCTGTCTTTATAAATGTAACTTACTCTCTCTTTCTCTCCCTCTTTCTTTCTCTTTTTCTCTCTTTCTCTTTCTCTCTCTCTCTTTCTCTTTCTCTTTCTCTCTCTCACTCTCTCTCTTTCTCTCTCTCTCTCTCTCTCTCTCTCTCTCTCTCTCTCTCTCTCTCTCTCTCTCTCTCTCTCTCATCAGTAGGTTCAGGGACTCTCCGTCCACCGTCATCTTCAAGTCATCGTGCAGGGTTGGGTGCTCGTGCTCCGAAGCAGCATTCCAAACCCCCGAGGAAGGATCTCCTTCAAACATTTGAGGAGATCAACGCGCAGGAGCAGATTTTGAGGCTGAAGACTCTTCAGGTGCAAGGCAAGTGGTTGGAGTGGACATCGGTGATGTGGCAGGACCTCTCGTGGAAATCCCTTTTGTACGGTGGTACTGGTAAGGATTTGAAATTTCTTCTCGCATCAACCCTCGACGTGCTACCTTCTCCGACGAACCTACGCCGTTGGGGAAACACCGTAGTGGATCCGTACTGTAGTTTGTGCCGTGCCTGGGCCTGTACTAC